ATGCTGGTGCTCTATTTGCAGCGGTGCGCGAGAAAGTGCGCCATTTTCCTCTTCGCGCCTCCACCATCATCGCCGTCGTAGTTTTCCTAACACCCCTCGATGACACCATCGTTTTCCATTAGGGCCACTGTGGCCAGAAATCAAGACTCGCTCCGCGTTCATCGTCCCTCATGACAGCACGATGGCTGTATTCTAGGTGTCCGATCCTGGATCCCTTGTTGAAGGCAGCCTTCCAGCTGTCGGGCCGGAGGCCGCGAGGAGCCGCCAGAGACGGCCGAACACCGCCGAAGACATACCGAAGGCTGCCGAAGAACGGCCCGAGACCGAAGGGGCAGCAACGCATCCGTGGTGCGAGCGCGTGGTGCGAGCCGTCCCCTGTCTGGGTAGTCGAAGGCCAGACTGTCAGATTGGATTGGGCCCCAAGGGCCAATCTGGCCCGGCCAAACTGGATGATTCGGGTTATTCGCCAGACTGGATTCGCGTTGGCTCCCTCGCCAGATTGCCCCTGTTTGCCAGATTGGGCCTGCCAGATTGGCGCCAGATTGGCTTCGACTACCCAGCCTGTCCATTTCAGGTTCGACGCGTCCAACGTCCGCGACGCTGCGCTGCCGGAGGGCCTGCGCGCCCTCGGCGAGGGCGTTGCGTGGCGGCTGGAGCTGGCCCTGGCCGGCGGCGGGCAGGAGCGCGGCGCCTTCACGGACGGCTGCTTCCTCGGGCAGCGCCTGGTGGGGGCGCCACCAGGGGGTCCCTTCCGCCTCCTTTGCGCCTCTGTCCTCCTCCTCCTCCTCCTCCTCCTCCTCCTCCTCCTCCTCCTCCTCCTCCTGTTCGTCCTCTTCTTCCTCCTTCTGATGGGTAAATGTAGAAACTCGAGGGGGAGGTCGAGGATCGGGGAGGTCTTGGGCGGTTCTGCACGTCTGTGGCGTCTTGTGGTGGTGGTGGTGGTGGTGGTCCTGGGGGGGGGTCCAGCAGGGCCCGCGTCCTGGACGGGGGCGGCATCCCCCCCCCCCCCCCTGTGGTGATCCCTTTGGCACTGCCCGTGGTGATCCCTTTGGCACTGCCCGGGGCGTCCACCACTGCATGAGCTGGGGGGAGCTCGCCGCGGGCGGGGGCGGCAACGTCTCCCAGCCGCAGGCGTTCGCCTCGTGGTGGGAGGGGCTCGGGCGTCCGCGCGGTGGCTCGGAGGGCAGCAACAGCACGCCGGCGCCGACCCCGGCCCGTCCGATGCCGGCCGGGCCTGTCCTCCTCCCCCCTCCTCCTGCTCCTCCCCCTCCCCCTCCTCCTCCTCCTGTTCCTTCTCCTTCTCCTCTTCCTCTGCTTCTTCTTCTTCTTCTTCTTCTTCTTCTTCTTCTTCTTTCTCCTCCTCCTCCTCCTGTTCCCTCTCCTTCTCCTCTTCCTCTTCTTCTTCTTCTTTCTCCTCCTCCTCCTCCTCCTCAGCCCCGCGGCCCAGGCTGCGACCCGCAGGAGGCGAAGCGGCCCCCCAGGCATGTCCATGCACCTGCCTCGAAACAGCCCCTGGATGGGCGGCGTGTGCCTCGGGCGGCCGTGGTGCTTGTTCGATGTTGCATATGGAACCCGTTGTCGATGCGTCAGAGTGGCAGGTGGCCAGATGTGTCGAAGCAGCTTCGAAGTTGTCAGCTTATTGCTCTCTCTGGGACTCAGTGTGGCGCTGACCTTCCATGTGTTCAGGACAGGTTTGGCGCGTATCGTCGATTTCGGGTGGGTCGGAGTGCAGGTTCTGCTGGAAAGCCCACGGGTTTCTCTTTGTTGATGCGAGATAGTCTTTTTGACGGCAACCAGGTTCGCCGTGTGTGTAGCACTAATCTGGTGATGTTGCATGGAGACGTGGGGCTGTACGTTGCAAGACGTATGTGAGCGTTGTGACGTTTATATTGTTGCCTATGCCCCCGTCGAACCCCCAGGTGGAGCGGGGCGTGCTGCCGCGTGTCGTGTGTGCAAGATTTTCTGGAGATGCCCAGAGCCGCTTGTGGATGGATTGCTGAGTCGTGCTGTTCCCCCGCTGGCTTATGCTTGATGCCAATGAGAGAGTGTTTCGGGTGTTGTGAGGCGGACGGGGAAACACGAATTGTTCTCTCTTTTCACCAGTTGCTCAAGTCTCACCATCTATGTGGTGTGAACGCTTACTTCCACTATGGTCCTACCTTCTATCATGGAAATGGCACCAGCACCGCTCGATAGGACTACATTTTCTCCACTAAGCAGGTGCTGGGCAAAGATGGTACTTGCGAGGTGTGGGAGAAGACTGGTGAGGCTCTGCATTTTCTCAATGTTCGAACGAGGAAAGATAACTTCCCGTTGGTGGCGCTGCTAGAGCTGGGTCCTTTCTGTCAAGATGCACAGGGGTGTTGCTAGGAGCGTTTATGTAAGGTGTTCGTCGTTGGGAGTTCTTGGAGGTCGTGTATCGAGGGCTGGCGCAGGTCGGCTTTGAGAGTGATGAAGCGGTGAAGCAATGCTCAGATTTTTTGGCGAATGTACAACGTAACTCATCATGCTGTTCGGATTTTTTGGCCAGACCTTGAAGAAGGTCGATCGACCTGTTGACATGTTGGAGGTTCTAGCTAAGCGGTTTAGCGTGCGTAGTTAGTGGAGGCAAATGGAGCAGCGCGTTCCCCTTCCCTTTCCTCCCTCCTCGTTGGGGGCATGATCCTCCCTGGCTCTTCGCCTCTTTTCCTCGTGCTGCGAGTGGCTACATTTGCGAGCGCGCGCCGGAGCCTCTGGAATTCGTTTTCCCCCCCAGGTTGTTCTTTTCAAACGTATCGTCAGGTATTGGCGGGTGGGTCGGGAAGTTCTGCGCATGGCGGGAAAGGGCAGGAATCGTTGAGTAGGTTTGCGCGTTGCAGAGTTGGGGGATGCATCGTAAGGTCGTTTTTTGTTTCTTCCTCCTTTTTCTTCGTCCTGCACGGGATGTTTCACGGAGGCCGGGTGGCAAACTTTCGGGCCCGAAGTTGCGTTTGTTTTAGGCCCGTCGGACCTATCTGGGTTCGTCGACGTGGAGAGAGTTTCTGGGAACTCCTGGTCCCGAGGGCGGTGCTGTTGCGAGGGGTGCAACATATGCTGCTGCGTTGGACGCAAGGCTAACTCGCGAGCGGCTCAGCGGAGACCTGACGTGGATGAGGCGGCGCAGGCTGCCGAAGAAAACCACTGTCCTATTTCGGAGGCCTTTGGGCAAATTGGGTCGCGCAAGCCCCCTGAGTGGCCCTTCCCTCCTGGTGCCTGGGGGATGTTGTTCTGGCCGCGTGAGTTCGAGAAGCAGTCTCGAGTTGGGATGAGGGGTGGGGTGGGCGGGGCTGGGACCATGGGACTATTGGATTTTGCTTGTCTCATCTACTGGTCCGTATTCGTCTCCACTCGGAGGCTCCGCTCAGTTGGCGTGGCAGTCAGGCGTTCGCTCTGAGCGAGGGTGGCGGTGCATCGGATGGCAAGGGGCTTGGACTGGGCCATCGTTTGGATGCGCTTGGCAAGATCTATTGTAGGTATCTCTGGAAGTCGAATGCTGGTTTGTTGAGGCAGGCGTCGCGTGTCTATGCCTGTAGGCGCCTGCGTCGTCGGCGTCGGGAGGGCGCCGTTCTCGCGCGGAGCTTGTGCGGGGAACGTCTGCGAGAGGCCGAGCTGAGCTATTCTTTGACATTTTTCGATGCTTCTGATGCGATTCACTGTGCGCGCGGCAGAACGCTTCGGAGTTTGCGTCCAAGCTGTTCGCTCAAAGACGTGACCTGAGTTGGGAATTTGGGCCGGTGCCCTTCCTGGGGGTGCTACTGCGCCGTCTCGGCTTTGGGGGCGCACCGCCAGTGTCTTGACGGGTCTATCTGGGAAGACAGTCCTGGGCTTGGCGTCACGTGGCTTAAGCGGTGTCTTAGGAGAGGATGAAGGTGCTCGCGTTGCTCTGCGTTCTTGTTCCGATCGTGCGATCGGCATTCTTTGCGCGAGTTTTTCGGACGACGCATGCCGCGCTCAGCTGCTGCGATTGCGCGACGGGCTTGTCAGATAAGTGCTACCGACCTGGCTCGCCTTCAATGCAGAGTGCTATTGGTGGAGTATCTTTGAATGGGAGTGAGCAAGAGTGCCTGGTGCACTGTGTCGGTAGGGGAGATTTTTTTTCGGAGGCGTGTTTCCTTGGCTTTTATGACGATCGCGCGGGATCCTGGAAGCCTAGCGCTGGTTCGTATGGGCGGGAGTTGTAGTGGTGAGTCTCCCAGAAAGCCTCTGTCGGCTTGCCGGGGTTTGAGCTGTCCGGGTAGGTTTTGGCACCGCTGCGCGCACCTTAGATGGGGGATTCTTGCGTATCGGGCTGGTATTGAAGGCGCCCTCGCGTCGGGACTCGCGTCCTCGAGTGTCTCCGCTGACTGTTCGCGAGCGCCTCGAAGGAGTTCAGGCTATTCTTGCTCGCAGGGTTACGAAGGGGCACGGTTGCAATCAGAAGAGGTCGAGGGAGGTGTTGAATGCAGAGCTCGTCTTGCTCTCGATATGTTTTGCCAGCTTCGCTTGTGTCCGGTGTCTCTGCGTTTGCGCATTCAGCGTCTGACATGGGTTCAGAACAATATGCGCTGGCCGCTCAGTTATCTGCATGGCGCTGTTCGTGATTGTGGAGTGTGTGTGTGTGTGTGTGCGTGGGTGGTTGATGTGGTGGTGGCGGTGGGGGCAAACTCGTGGGTCGGGAAGGGTACTTGGTGGACGAGGCTCAAGGGTGGTGGCAACAGTTTATCTGTGATTTCTTGGAGTTCGCCAGAGTTGCGGAGTTTGCGGTAGTGGCTTCAATTGTGCGGAGCTGCCTTGTGGCGCTCGTGCGTGGCCTGGATATCAGGTCGTTTCTCTTGCAGCAGATCTGCGATTCTTGTGCAGCGATTACACAGCTAAACGGATGCCAATTTTCTTCCTCTTCTTTCTCTTCCGTCTCTGGAGTTTTGTTGTGATCTCAGCCTTGTGGAGTCTGGGGGTGTCTGTGGGGCGTCTTTCCCGACTGAGCGGCAGCTTCTATTTCGTCATGGTAATCTCCGCCAACCTGATCGTCGCCCTCGTATCCTGTCACGGATTGTTACTATATCAAATAGGTGTATACTATGTGACAAGTTTTATATTTCTGAGAGGTAAGTTGGAGAACATCTGGAGGTCTTGGGGTTCTGCGGTCAAGGGTCGATGGGGGTCTACGGTTCCTCACGTGCGTGCCATTACATCACCCTATGACGGCGAGTTGTATGCTATGAGTTTCAGTAGCAATGCTGTGGCCCAGTGGCATCTACGCTCGCATCTTCCTTTTGACGCGCAGGTGTCTGCTCTTTGCGGCAGAGTAGTCAACAGCAGTGTGGTGCTACGTTCCGCAGGTTGGGCGCCGGGCCTGCTGCCGTCGTGGAGTGAGGTGGGGGACATCGGGCTCGAAAGCGCGTGGCGCTGGCGTCCGCCACGGAGGCCAAAACGGATGTCGTTCTGAAAGTGGTGGCGATAAGCGCGCAACGTTCGAGGTTGCTCGAAGCGGCGGTGACGTATCTGTTTGCGTTGAAAGTGGAGGATTCCTTTCTTTGTGGCAATGAAGCGGGCTCACGATCAGTAGTATTAGCCGAGGGTGAAGGGCAGAAGTGCCACGAGATCGGTGCCCTCGACTCCTTCCAATTCGCGGCGGCGGTTCGGATACATGGCAACAAGGGCTTGGAGTCTCAGCGGGCAGTGATCCGCAAATTCATGGGCAATGTCGTTCCTGTATCGATGCACTTTTCTTGATTCGCGGCCCGCAAGGAGAAGTCCAGAGGGCGGCGTGGCCGAGGCTGGGGCACAGCGACAGATAATTGGCGCGACACCGCGCAGAGTGCACCTGCAGATAATTAGAAAGAGGCGGCCACGGTTCAACCCGCGGGTGGGGGCGAACCGAACGCGGACCCAGAAGGCCGCTGAGCGCGTGCCAGCAGAAGAGGGCCGCCGCGAGGGGGGCAAGCCGAAGCCCTGCCGAAAGCACGCGGACCCCAAAAGCCGCTGAGCATGTGCCAGCAGAGGGGGGCGACCGCGACTGAGCAGGTGGAACCAGGTCGAACCCGCAGGTGGAGTACCGACTGCCAGCCTGAAAGGGGGGGGGCAAGGAGGCGCGAGCAGAGAAGGAGTGCACAACCTAAGGGGGAGCGTGTCGGATCCACTCACTTGACACCCAGTGCGTGAGCGCCAGCGTACACGCGGGCCACACACAAGCCACCGAGGGGGGTCAGGCCAGTGAGCATGTTCACGAACTGGCAGATGACGCAAGAGGAGGGCCTTTAGCCCTGTATCGATTCACGCGCAGCTGCAGGTTCGCTTCTTCAGGGCGGACGTGTTGTTCGACTCGAAAGTTGGGCGTCTGTTTGTCGCGCTGGCAGACAACGGGCTGGAAACCATGGTGGTTACTCTTCAGTATGAGCGCATGTGGTTCGAGGTCTTCTCCGGCCCGATTCCTGTAGGGTGCTTGGAGATTGGGGGTCAGAAGATGATGACCCCGCAGTGGCGTGCCTGACAGCAGTTAGTCAGTCAGCCGCTGCGTGTACTTCGTTTTGTCAGTAAGCTGGCGCCTCTTCCGCTAGCTCGGCATCCACTTTTCCGCCGCTGATTCTTGTTTGGGTTCCGTATATTCAGATAGTCTGTCGCTTTTCCGCTGGTATAATGGCAGATAGTTCTGAAGTGCGGCCGTGCGCCGACAGTTGCCGAGCGGCACTGGTGCCGGCGCCCCCTAGTTCTCGGTGCCGAGGCTTGCGAGTGAGGGGGTATCCCTACGTTTTTGCATCGATCATCGGATCTTGGCCGCTACGGAGCTCCACTACCACCACCACCACTTCCTCCTCCTTCTCCATCCTCCTCCTCCATCCTCTTCCTCCTCCTCCTCTTCCTGCTCCTCCTCCCCCTCCTCCTCCTCCTTCCTCCTCTTCCTCCTCCTCCTCCTTCTATTCCTCCTCCTCCTATGCCTCCTCCTCCTTCTCCTTTCCCCCCCTCCTCCTCCTCCTCCTCCTCCTCCTCCTCCTCCTCCTCCTCCTCATCCTCCGCCTCCGCCTCCTCGTCCTCCTTTTCCTCCTCGTCCTGCTCCTTCTCCCCCCTTTCTCCTCCTCCTCCTCCTCCTTCTCCTCCTCCTCCTCCTCCTCCTTCTCTTCCTCCTCCTATTCCTCTTCCTCCTCCTCCTCCTCATCCTCCTCCTCTTCCTTTTCCTTTACATTCTTCGTCCGCCCACCCCCCCGTTTGCCTCATATGGCCTCTTGGCCAGGCCAGGAAAGCGTCTGCACCAGTCCTGGGCCCAGGGTTGGGCCCCTTTCGGGGTCCTTGCAGGTGTGCAGCCGGCCTTCCCCCCACAGGCGGTGTCGAGCAGAGAGTGCCGCGCCGGTGGGACCACGGTCTCGACGGCGGCGGCGGGGTGGGTCGCTGTGAGCGGTTGCCGTGCTGGAGCACGGCCGACTGCCCGCGCGCGGAAGCCGACCTCGCGAGCTGGGAGGCCACCTTCACGCTGCGTGCCGCGGCCGGCGGGGAGGCAGAAATGGCTGAGAGGAGGTGGGGTTGGAGGCGGGGAGGTGGAGGAGGTGGGAGGGAATACGATGGCCGCCCCGAGCCGCGGCAGAGCCCAACTTGCCGATCTCTCTCTCTCTCTCGTCCTCTGTTTCTTTCTCGCCCTTCTCTCCTCCCTCCCTCTTGACGGACGTTTTGAGCAGAGCACTTCGTCCATGTAACGTGGCTAGCTCGGCCATGCGTCTTACGGTATCATCGTGGCATCTAGGATGGGGAAGGCGAGGAGCAGGAGGAAGAGAGGAGGAGGGGGAGGAGGAGGAGGAGGAGGAGGAGGAGGAGGAGGAGCAGGAGGAGGAGGAGGAGGAGGAGGAGGAGGAGGAGGAGGAGGAAGGTGAGGAAGACGAGGAGGGTGACGATGAAAAGGATTAGGATGGGGAGTTGGCGTAGGGGATTGGGAGGTTAGGGACGATCGAGGCCTCGGCACAGGCTGGGGCGAGTCGCTTCGGGGCAGCGTCGGGGCAAGAGGCTAATTACTTTGGAGCAGGATGATGCGCAGCTTGAGGCTCGGGGTCTGGGCCACGGGGGGGGGGCACGTGGTGGTCGCGAAGGGGGACGCCCGCAGATTCAACGCAGCTGCGACGCACACGGGAGTCCTCCCCTGGGACGCCCCAGCGTATCTCTGTCAGATGCCCGCCCCACGAGCTCAACATCAATCGTTTTGTCCCCTGGCACTCCTTGCGCGACCCGCCAGGGCGAGCTCTCCGCTGGGTTGCCGTCTCTGGCGGCCTCTCGATCGGGATCTCCTCTCACGGAGATCCCTCACCTGCCCGGGTACGGTGGATGGGGCTAGGAAGGCAGCTGTGGTTCGGGCGTGGATGATGGGGCAGGGGGCGGCGGATATTCAAGTCTGGGGTCTGTCGGGCGTGCGATTATCCGAGTAACCCAATCTCCAGGACCCTGGGTCGGGCTCCTGTCTTGGATATCCGCACACTCGGGTATCCCGCCAGCCCTCTGGGCGTGAGTGGTCCAGCGAACTCGTTCTGCTGACCCCCCCCGGCATGCTGGTTGGTGGGGAGCCTTGTGCCGGTGGGCGGTGCGGGGCGGACGAAACAACAGGCGGGCGAAACAAGGCGACACAGAAGCGGCTGAAACAAGAGCGGGCGACACAAAACCTTCGTCCCGTCTGATCACCGAGCGCGCTCCGCTACTCGCAAAGTGCCTCCTCGCAAACGTCCAGAAACACAGCATGTCTTCCTCGATGTCATGGATCGTGAGTCCTACGCGGCGGAGTAGAGGAGGAGGCGGAGGAGGAGGAGGAGGAGGCGGAGGAGGAGGAGGAGGAGGAGCAGGAGGAGGAGGAGGAGGAGGGGGAGTGGGAGGAGGCCATTTGCGAGCAGTCACTCTGCGAGTCGTGGAGCGCTCTTGTCCCGGAGGGCCCGGCCTCGCCCGCCCGACGTGGCCCGTCCGACCGCCGGGGGGCTTGCGCCTCGGCTATGTAGGCGGAGGCCCCGCGAGGGGCGGCGCGGAGCCGCGCCGTCTGCGGCCAACGGCCCTCCTGCTGCTGCCGCCGCTGCTGCTGCTGCTCTCGGAGGAGAAAGCAGCAGGAACCTAAACTTTTGGCGCTCCGCGCGGATCTCTTGGTTTCGCGGGGGGCCCCCCGGGCGGCGCCTCCGGCGCCTGCCCCTGGAGCGCCCCGCGCGCCAGGGAGGGGCCCTCCAAGCGCAGACGGAGTTGATGAGTAGGTCGACCCTGCCAAATCAAGGGTGCCCTTGTGTCACGTGTTTCGTGACCCACGTCCTCTGCACTCCTGTGGCAACCTGGCCCTCCGGAGGGTCTTGTGTGTCCTCTCGCGTGTCCTCTCCAATCAGCCCGGATGTTGTGTGGTGTTTCTGCTGATGTGTTTGTGCTTATGCTTATGTTGATGCTCATGTTTATGCTGGTGCTTGTGTTTATGCTTACAGTCAACCCGCGTAGTAAGGATGGGCAACTTTCCCAAGGGTACCCTTGCATCCTTGCCCCTTCGGCCCATCCTTAGCGACGTCCGCTGGCTAGCCTCGTCCGAAAAACGTCAGCATCGCTTTTTGAGGCCCTTGCATGCTCACCGCGCATCCTTCTTCTGCCTTCCTGCATGCTCGCTCCAGGGCCTCGGTCCTGGCGTCTGGGTGCGGCTGCCCGCCCCGTGCGCCTTGGCACCATGGGCGGGGGGGGGGGGCGCCGCTCGCCGGGGGGGGGGGGGAAGCGGGCCCTGCGGGGGGCCGGCCCTGGGGCGCTGCGCCGCTTTCGAGCCCTCCTTTGGTCGGGCGCTCGCGAGCACGGATCAGGGGGGCGTGGACCTAGCGTGGTGGAAGTCGATGGATGGAGAGGAAGCGTGCTGCCACACAGTTTCCAGATGTCTAAAACATGTTTCAAACATGCTTTAAACATGTAACAACATGTTTAAAACGTTTTTTTGAGCATGTTCTACACATTATACAGACATGTTAAATTCAATGATCGGATTGTTAGAGTGTCCATTGTCGTGACATCCACAAGATTAGCGACGGGTCCCGTCTGCATGGGGAATCGCGGATTTTTCCGCCGTCCAGCGAGGCGGCACCGGCCGCATTTTGGGGAGGGCACCTCCCCCGATCCATGGATTTGGCGGCCGCGCGCCAAATCCATGGATCGCGAATCGATGTTTTCGCGCCGCCGAGTTTTCGATCCCTCCAAGGGCCCTGTGATCTGTCGGGAAGCGGCTCAGGATGAGGATCTCGTCCTGGGGGGAGGCCCCAGAGTCCAGGACCCGCTTCCCCGATGGCGAGCCCCGGGCTGCCACATGCCCGAGCCTGGTTGATGCCCTGTGTGTCGGGGGCTGCCCATCTTGGGATCTCTCCCTTCCCCACCCCCCGTTGGATGCCGGTGGGGGTCACTTGCACGGTTTTTCGGAGGCCTCCTGGGGACAGTTTTGGGAGATATCTTGGGGCCTCTCGCGGCTTTTCTGTTGGCCTCCTGGGGCCTGAATTGGGCCTCTCGGGGGCCTCCAGGGGCTTCTGGGGGGACCTCTTTCGTGCGCAGAGCGCGGAATGCCACTTCGAGTTCCCCCACTTGGGGCCTTCTTGGGCCTTCTTGGGGCCATCTCTGGCCGTCTTGGGGACCTCCTGGGCCGTCTTCGGGCCCTCTTGGCCCCTTTGGCTGTCCTGGGGCGATCTTGGAGGCCTCTTACGGTCGTCTTGGAGCGTCGGAAGCCCGAAATGGGCTAGATTGCAGTAAAATCTTCCAGGCACCGAAGAAGAACATTCATGTTCTTGGCCTCTCGGGGCCCTCTGGAGAGTTCTCTTGGAGGCCTCTTGCATCTTCTTGGAGGCCTCTTGAGTCGTCTTGTGACTGTGTTGGACCATGTGTGGGCCTTCGTGGACCGTTTCGCTGCTCTGTGAAATCGTTTTGGACTGTCTCGAGGCTGTCGCTCAGCGTTTCGGGGGCCCTCGTGTCGGGGGCAACGATAAGGGGGGGATAGGCATTTGGGGGGATGCATCGACCCCCACTTGCCCATTGATCGCCGATAGGGGCCCAATAGCCCCAGCCTGCACAGGAAGGTGTGGATTCACTATCGGGGTCCTATCGCTGATCTATCGGTGATGTATCGCCGATTCCAGGTCGCTGCATCCCCCCCTATGCCAGTCCCCCCTATCGTTGCCCCTCATCGTGGGTCGTCTCGGGGCCATTCGCGAGGGGTTATGGCTTCGGAAGCGGGAACGGTGAGTCTCACGTGTCCTGGGATCCTCGGTGAAGTTTGCGAAGCCCTGGAGCAGAAGGCAGATGGGTTGGTGGGTCTGTGCCCCCCTCCCTCGCGCGGACAGTAAAAACTAGAACGCAGAACTCTAACACTGGAGATTGGATGCTCGACCTGTACATGTGTATGTAAGTATGCGTGGATATATATATATATATATATATATATATATACACATGTATGGCTGTATGTATGCATGTATGTATGTATGCATGCATTTAGGTATGCATGTATGCATGCATACATGTATACATGTATACATCAATGCATGCACGCATGTATGTATACATAATATATATATATATATATACATATATATACACAGATGCATGCATGCATGCATGTATGCACGTTTGCATGTATTCATGCTTGCAGGTATGCATGTATGCCTGTATGCGTGTAGGCATGCATGCATGTATGCATGTGTACATGTGTGCATGTGTGCATGTATGCATGTATGCATGCATGCATGCATGCATGTATGCATAACTGTATGCATGTATGCATGTATGCTTGTATGTTTGAATGCATGCATGTATGTATGCAGGTATGCTTGTATGCATGCCTGTCTGTCTGTGTGTATGTATGTATGCATGCATGCCGACATGCATGTACCTGCCTGCCTGTCTGTCTGTATGCATGCATGTGCATACGCATGTATGTGTGCATGCATGTATGCCTGTATGCATGCACGCGTGTGTGTATATATGTATGTGTGTGTATATATATATATATGTTTACACACAACGATAGACATACATACATATAATATATATATATATACATATATACAACTATATCTGTGTATCGAAGACGCCTACGGCGAATCACCGCCGCCCCCTGCCCTTTCGGAAGCGCCGATGCGGCCGACTGCTGTG